CCGCGATGCCACGTACTCCTCCGCTTTATGCTGCCCCCCGCGGCTGAGCTGGACCCTTCCCGCGGGCTGCTGCTGCCGGGGAGCCCGCTTTGCCCCGTGCCCGCTGCCGCTGTCAGAGGAGGGCTACATTTGGAGGCAAAGAACGAAGCATGTAGAACGACCTTCTGTCACCGAGCTGTTGTCGCGGCGGTAGGGTCCTTTTTTTCTTAGCGCTTCGGACGCCGCGGATTTGCCTCCGCACTTATGTCGGCGCGGATAAGGGCATCGCGGTTTTGTGGTGGAACCGTCAAACCCGCCTGTCAAATCGTATCATGAGGTTTTTTTTATCTTTTTGGAGCTGGGGTGGGTGTGGCCTATGCGGGCCAGATAGGCCGCCAGTTTGACAGGCCTGAAGTAGATGCATTCTATTAATATCACAAGACATTTTTCTCATCCTCTTGTACCTTAGGCTTGGGGATAGAACTTAAAATCTCACTATGTTTGTTTGTTTGTAGTAAAACCAAGTTAAAATGATGTGGATGGTAGATTTAACTTTAAGGATTTCGATTACATTTATATGGTCTCACTTGCCAGTGTAAATTTTATTTTTCATGGCCTTATTTTAAACAGTGATGTTTTAGCTCATGTCAATAAAATGGTAGAATATTATACCCCATTTATAGGTAATAAATATACGTAAGCAGCTAGATGTCTTTAAAATATGCGATTAACACAGAGAACACTAACTTCTTCCTTCAGTAATAGTTCGCTGCAGTATGCATTCTAGCATCAGTGTCAGAGATGATTAAAAGAAGCATTTTGTTGTTGACATGTTGACTGCTTCATAATTCCCATAGAAGGAGGGAGGGTAGATATAAGAGCATTTGTTCATCATTAAAATCATGCTCTACATGTGGATGCAACTATGTGCATGAGAAAACAACTAATGGAAGAACATTTGTATCTTTTTTATGTGAAAGAATGTGTCTCTTTTAAAGCTTGTTTGCCATTTGTCGTTTCTATAAATACTACACTGTCTGTTTAAAAATCTGTCAAGTATTGGAGCAAATTTTGATGTTCATTCAGGAGATTAACAAATTAAACATTGCAGTTTTATTTCTTGTTGGGATACTCTCTATTGTTCAACTTGGGCAGTGGTGGGTTACGGATCCCAGTGCAACGGGGCCAGGCGTCCACCACATGAATGCGTGCAGCGCGCACATGCATACATACTGCCCGCTCTGCAATG